TTTTGGGGATTTTTTGGGGATTTTTGGGGGATTTTTTGGGGTGATTTTTGGGGATTTTTTGGGATTTTTTGTGATTTTTTTAGGGGTTTTTTTTGTTTTTTAACCAATTTTCTTCCAATTTTTATGGGATTTTTGGAGTTTTTTAATGGGATTTATGGAGTTTTTTTCCCTGGATTTTGGGGATTTTTTTCTGGATTTTGGGGGCTTTTTTCCGGGTTTTGGGGATTTTTGGGCTCCGGGAGCCGCGGCAGCTCCAGGGGGGCCCCCACTGCGAGCAGAGAGAACCCCAAAATCCAACGGGAGCCTTGGGAATTTGGGGGGATTTTTGGGGAATTTTTGGGAATTTTTTGGGGATTTTTTGGGATTTTTTTAGGATTTTTTGGGGATTTTTTGGGATTTTTTGGGGATTTTTTGGGGGATTTTTTTTGGATTTTTTGGGATTTTTTGGGGGATTTTTTTTGGATTTTTTGGAATTTTTTGGGGGATTTTTTTGGGATTTTTTGGGGATTTTTTTTTATTTTTTGGGGGATTTTTTTTTGATTTTTTGGGGATTTTTTTGGGATTTTTTGGGTATTTTTTTGCGATTTTTTGGGGGATTTTTTTTGGATTTTTGGGGGATTTTTGGGGATTTTTTGGGGATTTTTGGGGGATTTTTTGGGGTTTTTTGGGATTTTTTTAGGGATTTTTTTTTGTTTTTTAACAAATTTTCTTCCAATTTTTAATGGGATTTATGGAGTTTTTTTCCCTGGATTTTTGGGGAATTTTTTCTGGATTTTGGGGGCTTTTTTCCGGGTTTTTGGGATTTTTGGGCTCCGGGAGCCGCGGCAGCTCCAGGGGGGCCCCCACTGCGAGCAGAGAGAACCCCAAAATCCAACGGGAGCCTTGGGAATTTGGGGGGATTTTTGGGGAATTTTTGGGAATTTTTTGGGGATTTTTTGGGATTTTTTTAGGATTTTTTGGGGATTTTTTGGGATTTTTTGGGGATTTTTTGGGGGATTTTTTTTGGATTTTTTGGGATTTTTTGGGGGATTTTTTTTGGATTTTTTGGAATTTTTTGGGGGATTTTTTTGGGATTTTTTGGGGATTTTTTTTTATTTTTTGGGGATTTTTTTTTATTTTTTGGGGGATTTTTTTGGGATTTTTTGTCCTCTTTTTGTGTTTTTCCCACCCCAGTTTTGGGGTAAAGTGTCCGAGGGCATCGATTTCGGTGAGATTTGGGGCAAATTTGGGCCTTTTTGGGGCTTTTGGGATTTTTTGGATTTTTGTGGGATTTTTTGGGATTTTTTGGGGGGATTTTTGGGGATTTTTTGGGGATTTTTTGGGGATTTTTTGGGGATTTTTTGAGGATTTTTGGGGATTTTTTGGGGATTTTTTGGGGATTTTTGGGATTTTTTTTTTATTTTTTGGGGATTTTTTGGGGGGAAATTTTGTGGTTTTGGTGTTTTTTATTGGAAATTTTGTGGTTTTGGTGTTTTTATTGGAATTTTTGTGGTTTTGGGGCAGTTTTGGGGTGTCTGAACCCCAAATTTGTGCCCCCCAGTCCATCACTATGGGGTTT